GCAGCTGGCTGGCCCCCATCGACGCGAACTGTGTTAGATTACGCTATGTTTCGAGGGCCTGAAGACTTGTTAAGGTTACGTTCAACCGAAGGCCGGAAAAAACTCTCACGTCGGGGCAAAGTATTTCAAGTCCATTAGCCTATCCTCGTTTTTGTTGAAACCGTTGGAGATACTCATGGATCTGTACATAAGGAGCAGAATACCAAGAGGTAAACTGTTAAGAACCCAGCTTGCCTGTATCAAAGGCAAGTCCATCGACACTGCTTTGCATGATGTAGTATCATGGCACACATAACAGCGCAAGGAATTTGTTGTTGGCACTTTTCTCGACATCGAAAGGGTCTTCAACAATGTATGAACGGAGGCGGTGGTTAAAGCCCTCAAAAAGTTTGAGGTGGAATCGAACTTCAAGCTTCTCATATATAGTCTTCTTTGCGATAGAACGGTTGTAGCAGAGTGGGGTAGTGCTCAGACATCCCGAAAGGTCAATAGGGGAACCTCGCAGGGTGGGTTGGTGGTTAACGACCCAAGTAAAACTAAAATGGTTTTATTTACTAGAAGTTATAGGGTCCCAAACGTGCCTCTCCCCACTTTTACGTCTTCATCCTCCTTCTTAGGATCGACTTCTTAACTTAACCTAACATAGTCGATTTGAGGATAAATTTACTAGCAATAAAGCTCGAAAAAGCTTTTGCATGAACTTCCATTGGCGACGATTATAAACTGGAAACGACGATAAAATCGTATGTAGGTTGATTCTTAACATCAGGATACTACCATTTAAAATTTACTTGCAAATAGCTTTTTTGAACCAAATACCAATTTAAACGCATAAAAATTGTACAAAAACGCGAGTCCTCATTACTGAAGTGTATTAAAGTGTTAAAACTTACGATCATTAATTGGGAATCACGTCCTTTGCAATTACCCTATGTCCTACAATATGCAGGGCACGCACAAGTACACATGTACTCATGTAAAATGTGTAATAAGTAAATAAGTAGCTGGAAAAATACAAGTAGTCACGGTAATCAAGCGTTCGAATGACCGTCCGTTCAGCTTCTGCCATCCCACTGAGTGACCAAAGGGCAACAGCAGTTATTAACAGATAATTTTATTACCACTCATAGCGAATCCGCCTAGGCACTGACGCGGCACTGGCGTTGGCGGTGGCGTCAGCGCGCATATAACGTATTAAGCGTTCAAGCGTTTTTACGATTTCCCCGGTGCGCGCATTCGCATGGAGGCAGGATATAAAATGCAAATATGTGCGAAACCAGATGAGAGCGCTGGACTCAAGTGCAAGTAACGCATAAGTACGACTATCTGTCGAGCTCACTTGCATTTATAAATTTATATATAAATATGTACATACACATATACGTACATATATACACGCACAAACATGCGGTTATTGTTGGTCATCAGTTATCACGGCCGCAGGAGTATAATTAAGTTTTAAGTCGAACCAAGAAAAACATGATTAATATTACAGGAATGAAAATAAAAGTACAAAAATGGATAAGCAACACATACTCGTACATCCAAGCATCCATGGACTTTTAAAAATAATAAATATATGTGTGGGTGTGAATACATTGCGGGTCGTGCAACATTCGTCATCAACTTACTGATGCCAGTGAGCTGCGATGGAGCGTAAATCGTATATGAAGGACATAAATAGCTGAAGCAGTGATGGTATCCTTTCACCAGCGCTATTCTTATTTGAATGTATATATGTATTATGTATGTAAACTGATAGCAACAAGTGATATCGCATACATATACACACATGCATCCACTTGGATACCCTAACCGAGTGACTTAAATGAGTGACAGTGCTTGTTGGGTAAGGAATTCAAATATCATAGCGAACAAAGTACACGTTTCTGGAAAAAAATATCTAAAAAAATAATATTTAGAAAAACAGTTGCTAAATTCAAAATTACATCCAATCCTAAGCCCCCAGGCGTCTTTTCAATATTTCTTAATGTATGAAAAGAAGGGAAGTGCTGAAAAACTTTGACACGAATATTGTGATAGCCTTATGTCACTAGGCGCAGATACATTCGAAAAAATCTCTCGGACAGAAAGAAGTAAGAAAACCCTCCTATAACATGAAATAGAAACAGCAGTAATTCAACTTACAAAAAATTTAAACTTTAAAGTTATTGTTCCCATTTCCGCTGATCGGAGAGAATTTATGCAAGCAATTTAGCAAAAGCTCAAAGGACTCAAAGAACTAAAGATAATCGTTAATCTTAAAGCTGTGATTAATCTGTATTTTAGGAAATACCTTAAATCAAATTGGTGAATCTTAGAAAACCCATACTTTTTCGGGTCTACCCAAACCGTTGCAGTCGCCTTTAGATATTAATCAAATCGAGAATAATGTTTTAGAACTATTTTCCTAAATTATCAAAGATTTTTGTATTAAAAATATCTAGAAAATGATCGAGCAATGTTGTTGTTAAAAGTTTTTACAGAGATTGAAGTACAATGAAAACATCCATTGCGTCAGGGTACTCAAAAGCTTTACAGCTTTCATAGTATTCGATGTTGTGAATGATGACAAGTAAAGAAAAAGTTAAGGTCCAACCGTGTGTATATGACTAATATCTATACCGATTATTTTAAGATAAAACATAATTATACTCTTTGTGGTTCATATTGCGAGAAAAGTATGAAATCTTCGAAATAGATAGATGAGAGCCATATGAAGTTGAAGAGGGAAACGTCACTGTGATCAGCTGAGTATAATTAATAATATATTCCGTATGTAAGCAGATCGGCGCTTTTTATTTTAAATGGCATTTTTGTAATATAAAGCGAATTCCTTTAGTAAAAGCTATGTTTGTTATTCTATGTTTGTTGGACTATTTATTTGCTTCACGTACACATACACAGAGGGAAGTAAGTGCTTTTTTGTAAATGTTTTATCTTTTGCACACACACCCACACACACACACACAGACAGTTATATTATTGAGTGCATCCTGGAAATGCATTGAAATGCTTTTCTGCATACCCACTACCACTTCACTACACACCCTCACAAACACTCACACACGCAAACACGGTTAACCAGCCATTTGTTCGGTCACAACGGTTGTTTGGGTGTTACGACATGACATTGATGACCACTGCTTAATGCCAGCGAATGAGCTTGTGAATTTCTGTCCTGAGACCGCCTATTCAGTCGCCATAAGCTGCATAAGCATGCACATACACACATGCTAACACTTGAATGTTGAGCATTTCAGCTGCAATAGGAGTACTAGACAATTTTATAGTGGCGCTCAGACCAAAGAGTACTACACACACACACACATGGCTCTATAGTATATGTATGTATAAGTAGTCAAATCGGAATTAGTTGGGACTTAGTTGTGCTCCATGCTCCGGTATTTAGCGGCAGACGCATCACTTGACAAAAAATTTTAGCATTTTATTAATGTGTGGGATATGGTGGAAATGGCGCAAATGAAAAATCCAAAGAATGATTGAAAAGCCGTTGAGAATATTGAAGTTAATCCGTCTACACTCTATACACTCCATATAAAATATGATTCATTTGTTGGAGAAAAATTTTTATATTATAGTTACTACTTTCATTTATAAAATGTTCCTTTCTCATTTAAGACCGCCAAAGGGTATTCCTTTTTTTACAACTTTTACTGGGTCTAAGGTTTATTTTATAGGGAATTTATAAAAAACAAGAAAAAGCGTTAACTATGGTTGCACCAAACTATAATACCCTTCACAAATACAAAATATTCCTTAGAAAAAGTTGATTTTGATCGTTCAGTTTGTATAGCAGCTATATGCCATAGTGATCCGATCTGAACAATAGTTTTTGAGATTAACCATTGTCTTAGGCAATCATCGATTATAAATTTCGTGAAGAGTCATCGTCAAATGAAAAAATAGCCTATACAAACACGCTATTCTGATCGTTCAGTTTGAAAGGCAGCTACATGTTATAGTGGTCCGCTATCGGCCATTCCGAGAAATTACCAGCTGCTTGATGAGAAAAGGACGCTTGCAATATATCAGATCAATATCTCAAAACCTGAGGGACTAGTTCGCATATATTCAGATGGAAGGGGGGACAGACGTACATGGCTAAATTAACTCACCTCGTCAAGCTGATCATTTATGCATATACATATATACTTTATATGGTCTCTAACGTTTCTTTTTGGGTGTTACAAATATCGTGGCAAACTTAATATACCCTGTTCAGCGTAAAAAAAAGGCTTACGGTAAAATGTGGTTTAATTTTTAGTTAAAGTGTTTCTAATACGACGTCGTGTTTAAAAATTACTATTTCCGCCAGTTAGATTAAAAGAAGTCGTAATCTTTCACTTGAAAATATTGCGTAAAAAAATTAAAGAACCTTCCAATTTAGAAAGTAAAAACATACTACAAATTCAGGTAATTTAATTAAGATTACATTTTAAAATGTCTTAGAAAAGTTGCCACCAGTTTGCAATTTAAAAGTATAAAAATTTATATTAAAACCAAATTGCAATACAGGATTATTAAAACATATTGTTTAAAATATTTGTGAAAAGTGTTGCCACCTGTTTAAATTTTAAATTTCATTCAATTGATTAGGCAAACAAATTAATACGATAGAGGGTTAAGATCGCATACTGCTGGAATTATTATTAATTTATTTGAACTTTAAGAAAGGTTTTTAGAAAACGATTGCCTGAGGGACTATCTCACGTATAACAGAGAGACGGACATAGATAAATTGACTCAGCTCGTCTAGCTGATGATATATTTACATAATTTATTGAGTCTCCGACGATTCCTTACAAACTTCGTGGCAAACTTAATACACCATGTTCTTCAGGATTTAAATACTTTTTACCTTTTCCTCCTCTTATTTATTTTAAACATGCAGAAAAATTTCAGTTTTTTCTTTTTTTTCATTTATGTTATCTATTTTAGATTATTTATGTTTCAACTGTATCCATGCATTTACTCACCTCAATGCGCCAAATTTCCACACCAGGCTTCTGACCTGCATCAGCAAAAGCTTTGTTTATAACCGTTTCCATTGTTGTTGTTTTCTTCTCACTACTGCAAAAACTCGTCGGCAAAATCAACAGCTGTTGGCTGCTTTGTTGAACTTTTTTCGAGTTTTTTCTACGCGCTCTAATAGCAGGTGACTGTCAAGGCTAAAGCGAAACGCGTAAAGTAAAGCTGAAAAACATTAAAAATATAAAAATAAATAAATAATCGGCGAAAAATGAAAACGCGCACATTACGCTTTAAATACTAAAGTTAATTATCGGAAAAATGTTGGAATTTATTTGCGCTAAAACACATACTAAATGTGTATGTATGTATGTATACTCATATTTAATTGACTTTAAACAAATAAATGGCTTAGTGTCTCGCCGGCACTTTTTAAAGACGCTTTAAATGAACGCGCCGACGACCACAACTTGCAGCTGCCACTGTGATCCAACTGAAGCGGTTGTATGTGTGTACATATGTGTGACATTTCATGAAAGTGAAATTTTGACATTTATCGATTTTCCTCATGATATGAGTAACCCGTGCACACGCCTCGATGAAATCATCAGCTGCCACCGCCTAAAGCTCAAAAATATATTTACATGCGTATGTATATACGCTTATACCGAGTATATATTGTAGTATTTACATACAGACCGGCATTTCGCATATTTTTTTATTGTTTGTACTTGTTTTTTTTTTTGTTTCTGTTTTTCGTTTTCTGCTTAATAGTGCCAAACTATGCAGCGAGGCTTTTCGCATATCAGGTGCCATTTTCTAGCTGAAGGGAAAGCAATATATTATGTAGCAGATTTCAGATACAAAGTGTGAATCTTGTATGTGTGCATATATTTTTTGGTATTTTAGGATCTTGTCGGAGAATTTATTTACTTTGTATGATTCTTAAATGGGTCTAGAAACAAATATAAGCGTACAAACAACTCTCGAACAATATCTGGTAATCAGGCATTATCGGTAACAATTATTTTGTTTTGAGGATATGATCGAAAATTAGATTATCACTCTATGCTAAAATGCAATGATATCAGATATATTTTCATCTAACAAGTTATAATTATTTTTGCAAAAAAAAAATTTAGAAGAATATGCATAAAAGCCTTATTCTCACAATTCGCTAATGTGACGTCAGTAAAAGAGCTACTATTGTTAAGATCGCCTAAAGCAGAATAGTGAATAGCATAAATAAGTCTACCTTCACGTTGCCCTCAGATATGGCAAGTAAATTACTAACTACTTTTTCAGTATTTAATATTAATTCTATAAACGGGTAAAAACACCAATCTAAAATAATTCAAGTAGGTAGAAGTGCTGCCCTTATGGGCTCAATTAGCGCTGGGTGCGCCAGTTTGTTGCACTATCGTAGGACATTATAATCTTGCTATTCCGTTTCTTCGTTGCGCTCAAACCATTTGGTGCTCTCCACTACTTATATCCGTTGTGCTTTTTGTGGACGGCCATACAAGATGTGTTCCAAGTGTTTTGTGTCTTTTGGTTTGTAATAGAGCAGAGCATTCACAGAGAAAGTCGAAGACAGTTTCCGTATTCCCTTCTAGCTGAGGCAAATATTGTTATAAGGCAGGTGGCTGAAAGTCTGTGTATACTATTTCTGGATGTCGCTTTTATTAGCTTGGGTTGTATGTATGAAATGGAATCTTAGAGCTCAATTTTCACCGGTTTCCATAAGTCCGATCAACTTGAAACTTTGCAGACGTGTCAAGGACCGATGACAATGCAATAATTTGATAACAGTTTCCCATTACTTTAAAGGTGGGTGGGTATCAGATAATAACCACGGCCACTCCCTATAAAGCAGTTATGTTAAAATATTATAAGCATTAATTTTCACAAACAAGATGGTAAGAAAGAGCTTTAGGAGGAGTTTTAAAAATTCCTTTAAAACGCGTTTTTTTAGTTTTTTAAACTATAATTGAACCAATATCTGAGCATAATAAAAAATGTTGCGTCATGGTACATACAGTTACCCATAATTTCTTTACGTGACTGTCAACGCGTGTCAAAAGCTTCTACACATTATTTTTTTTGTATTCTAGGGAATGAGCAGTTTACGCGTACACCAGATGTTTTCAATTCTATACTTCAATTTATATCTTTTTTTGAAGCTAAAAATAATATGGGTTATTTTTTCTCCTGCGCCTTTGTTAATAACCTGACTTTTTCCGAAGTCCCAAAACACCTATAGAAGTCAAATTGATATACATACGTATAAATGAGTACACTTGTGGGTGTGTAGTCAGCATGTGTGTTGCTGAAAATTTAATGAGCTGTTGGCTTGTGCATCTCGCATAAACAAAATTCGCTGATTCACTGGGCACAGGCTGGAAAACCTGGTTCTCAAAATAGATTTCAAATTTCTTGTGTTCATTTGTTTGTTTGTTTATTTTTTTGAAAAAAAATTATTTTTATGGGCTTTCATATAGTTGCGTCGAAACCTGACCAGATGTAGACAACAACATGCATTATATATGGGTAATTCCATCGAAAGTCTACATTTAACATTTTTTTTTCGTACAAAACATTTTTTTGTGTTCTTTGAAAGAACATTTTCCATTGAAAAAAATTGAAAAAAAATTAAAAAAGTACGCAACTTTTTTTTTATAGCAAAATAATTTTCTTCGTATACGCAAATGTGTAAAGGCACTTTTTCAAAAGTTGAAATTTTAAAAATTCATAACTCCAAAATTTTTCAAATTGAGTTGAAAAATTCATGTTCAACATTTTGCCTCAAAAAACACACAAAAAAATGTTTGAATGTAAATTTTCAATGAAATGACCCATATATAAATTTATGATATATAAATTTATGGTATTTATTTACTTAACTAAGTTGCATGGGAAAGATACATATATAAGTAAACAATTTCTCTCATTTTTAATTAAGTTTTCGCATTCCAAATATTGAAGAAAGTGTTTCGAGTCACTTACCCTAGGGAAATGCCCAAAAACTGGCAGCTAACCTTGGAGATTAAACGATTTATTTCACTAGGATTCGTAATATGGCACATATGCATTTAGTTTTGCGAAATTTATATTTATATTTTTTTTTAGGAATAGCATAACTTTAATTTTTTTTTGTTAAAAAGTTAGAAACTTATATAGAAATACACAACATTGGTTGAATTTAAGAATTGTTTCTTTCGTGTAGAATGTTCTTTTATCTTTCTTTTGTTAACAAAGATATTGACCGCTTTCGATCGCCAATTTTCTGCTCGATATGTTTAACTTCTCTCTTGCCCAAAAAAGTCCATGCGAACTCAAAAAAGCTATACAGCTGGATACCATACAAAAGAGAAAGTCGAAGTAATGCTACTCCATCTCTATTTGATTATACCAGTTGTTGTGAATTATAACAGTTCTTTGTGCGATTCGCCATGTTTAAAGTTTCCCGAATCGAATGCAGTTATTGCATTTTGATAGTCCTATATATGATGATAGTATCGATATTTTCTAGAGTAAGACATTTTTCATATTATGTTTTTTTATGTATCAATTTCATAAGTTACAATTATTTTTAGTATAAATATAATATATATATATATATAATTTTTTAATGTCTGTCTTTTTTGCAAAAATGTAATGATAAAAAGCCTGCGTCGTTCTCGAGCTTTTAGTATAAAATATTTATTAAAAAATATAATTTTGTTTCCGAGTAAAAAAGGAGGTTAATATTTTCAGCTTCCTACAATGACTATATATGATATATATTCATAAACATTTTTTTCGAGGAGTCTTGAAATTTCCTTATTACTCGATGCTGTAGAGCAGTGTAACCCTTAAGGGGTTACATACACCTGAGTATTCCAAAAACCTAAAATATTTTTGCCCGTCTGTATATTGAATGTACATATATTTGAAAATATTCTCCGCAAACTTGAAATCGATTCGGTAAATAGTTTCGGTGATATAGCGTATTTGTATGAATTTTGAAGTCAAAACGCTGCTTTTAAAGTCAGTGCGGAAATTTTTTCCCAAACGGTTATATGGATTGACTTGAAAGTTTCACACGACCTTTCTAAATACAAGTATCATCGTCAGATTGAAGTAATAAGATTGTTCATAATCGATTTCGATTTTTTAAGTGTTAATTAAAAAAAACGAAATTTTTAGGGAAGCCACCATTTTATCAAATATCAAAATTTTGATTAGTCCCTTGATATACCTTTATTCATCTATTGTAGTAATAATTTACAAAATTAATCACCGATTATTAAAGTACATTAAATTCTGTTATTTTTATTTGTTTATTAAACAAATTGCCTCTTCATAACAAATTCACGAAAAAACGCGTTTTTTCTGACTTCCAAGTGCATAAAACCGCTTCAACAAACAAGTAAATATTTTCAATACCTTTTTTTCCGTTTAGATTATTATTGATATTTCACTAATAGTTTTTATTTATTCGAATTTCGGAAAAATTACAGTAAGTCATTAATTATTAAATTTCAAAATCACTAATATCTAGCCCCTTATACTGTTGTTGCCTGTTATTACCTACTCAGTGTTATTGAATTTTAAATCTTTCAGCATTTTCCAGTGCTTATAAAAGCTTACCAAAGTTAAAGCAACTTAATATATCTCAATAAAATAAGCCTGAACATGCAACATAAGCGCCTAAAATGGTGATTGAAATGCATAGAAAACTAGTCAACTGAATGAATTCAACTCCCAAAAAGGTATCAAAGCTTGTCAGATATACATATAGGTATATATATATATATTATATATATATATATATATTATATTAAATACAATTGTAGAAACAATAACATTATTATTTTACTACATTATATACTACATGAAAGCAGTACAAAAACAACAGCAAGCAGTAGAAGAGCACTCAGTTAACCTGATGGCAATGAAGTCGCTTAGAATGATCCAACAGGAAATTTTATGTTTTCATAGTTTAGCTATTTTATTTATGAGTATAAAATACAAATTTATAAAAAAATGTTGTGAATACCAAATAAGTGCTTAGAATTAATTGGTAAACGAAAACCACTCAAGTCCTGAAAATGCGTTCGCAACATCTGGATAGTGAAATAAAAATAACAAATATTATAGTAAAAGTAATAAAAAATAAGTAAGAGTAAATATTATAGTAAGACTAATGAATTCTTAAAATTTCTAATTGCGAAAAACTTTTTAGAAAAAAAGATTTTCGCATCGATAATGTTATTTAGAAACGATCTCAAATTGAAGGACTTAGTTGCTATGTTGTTTTGTTCAGTGAAACTTCTTTTATTATTTTTCTATTTTCATATTTTAGAACTTAGCAGTAAATTGCCATACATTTGTATACTCGCATGTTTATTTTCAAAAAGAATTTTTTCAAATCCACTGGCTTATTTCGATAAGCATGAGGCAATACCCAAAAAAGAAACCGCGAGGAAACGAAAGCAAAGCAAACAAATTCAACAATTTTATGAGCACTTAACAACTGCGGAAATGATTGTGGTCATAAAATTACCACAAAATTCGCAAGGCATCACATATTCGAGTGAATATCGGAGAACGACTAATCGTCTAATCCATATGCCACGGGCAGTACATAAGGCAGGTACGAGTAGATAAGAAATGTTATACCATTTGATTGACTGGTATTATAATCATAAGTTGCAAATTTTGTTTACACTCTGAACAGGGTATATTAAGTTTTGCCACGAAGTTTGTAATACCCAAAAAAAAAACGTCGGAGACCCTACAAAGGGTATGTGTACATAAATGATCAGCGTGAGCGAGCTGAGTCGATTTAGCCATGTCCGTCTGTATATATACGAACTAATCCGACAGTTTTTGAGATTTTGAAATTTTGCACACGTTCTTTGCTCACCAAGCCACTGCTCATATGTCGGAACCGCGGATATCGGATTACTAGAGCATATAGGTGCCATATAAACTGAACGATCGGAATAAAGTTCTTGTAACGAATATTTTGTATTTATGAAGGGTATTATAACTTTGGTGCAACCGAAGTTAAAGTTTTTTCTTGTATTTTGATTATTGTGAATATATGTAATGTTTTAGTTAAAAAGGTTAAGCTTATCATTTTCAATATGGTGAGTAATTAGATAATATCATTGGTATAATCATATCTCTATATCTCCATATGAATGAAAGGTGTGTGCCACCACATAAATCGAGAGCGTATGCAGTGACGCAGAAGATTATTTATCTACAAGTATAACTGCTTTATCTTGAATTGGAGATATAGGTGGGCATATATAAGGATTGGCACTCGGAACAAATAACATATGGCAATCCTATATGGGAGTTATTAAATCTAACGGTAGAGTTAATTATTTATTCAAATACATAAAAATTAAACCCTGCCCAGTAGTTTCTCCGTCTTGCAAGTTTTGGTTCAACCATAACTTAATTTTGAAATCCTGAGAAAAAATATTATCCAAAAATTTTGAAGATCGTCGAACCAAGATTCTGATAACTATCAAGCCGATGAAACACCTTTTTGGAAAAATTTTGGTAGTCTAGTATAGGTACCGAAAAAGTAAATTGCCGTTTTCTGGGATTCACAAAGTGTGATCTACATCGACTACTTGGAGAAGGGCAAAACGATCACAGGGTCGATTCGACACCGCGTTATAGAAAATACGACCTCATTTGGTGAAGAAAGAAAGTTTTCCAGCAAAACAACGTACCGACTTACACATCCATCCTCGCCACGACGAAATCGGTCAAATCAGACTATGAACAGCTATCCCAACCACCGTAATCTCCAGACTTGGTCCCTAGCCGCTGCTTTCCAAAAGTCACCCACCAGACAAAGAAGAAGAAAACAAATAATTGAAGAAGAAAACCACCAGATGCTATAGATTTCTTTTAATCTCGTCTTACTATTTGCGATAGGACACATGATATTAAGTACCTCCTAAATAGCATATGGATTTTATGAGCACCTTTTTCTTGATAGAAATCTCTACTAAACTTTCAAACATAGCTCTTTCTAAAGTTTATTAACAGCTAAAAACTATTTGCAGATTTATTTTATTTTCGAAATTCTCACTTCTCAGAGTAATAAACACAAATAAAATATGATTTATGCAATATATCTTTCTTATCTCGTTTAGATGCTTTATGTATTTACATTATGAGTCATGTGTGATAATTAGTGACTGACTTTGGAAGCCTAAAAAGGCTTAACACACAAACAAGCAATAAATACGATTGTTTAAAGAGTATAAGG